TTCAAATGACATAAAAACAGCGCTCCTTCATGAAGTTTTATGGCGTATTTCAATACCTCCTCGAAAACAGCTTCTCGAAAAAAAGATCATTATGCTGCAGCTCGGTCGGAGAAAATATATCTCTTCCTCTTTCCCTGGTGCTTCAGCCACGGACACGGGAGGATGTTGCGCCGAAGTTTTTTCTGTCCGTCATTCGTTCTGAATCTGGTGAAGTCAGTGGAGCATTTGTAGATTGTTCTGAAGACAATGTCCCTCACCAGCGGCAATATTGAAGTTGTGGAAGCAAGCTGAGCAGAGAAAGGAAATATTTGCTGAGATCTGCGATCCGTAACTTTTTTTGTGTCTTCTCATTCTTCCTCCTCGTCTTCTAGAAGACAAAGCAATATCGTGAGCAAGGGAAACGAAGATCCTATTCCGTCGTTCCGAATCTTCGTCGTCGAGGCTGATGTTGTTTGCTGCACTTACGCGTGGAAACTCGGCGTGTTGACTGCAATTCCAGATGTTCGGCTTATCGCCAATTATGTAGAGTGGAATCTAATTTCTACGGATTTGAACAACATCCAATTCACCCGATTGGATTGGATAGGTAATTTGTTGTCGCTCAAATGAGATCCCCTCCATCCAACCGCAACGGAATAGCGAAGATCCCGACGGAAGGGCAGCCGTGAGAAATATGAGCATCATGCAGAAAAGAAAACGCTATCGGTCCTCGACACGTCGGGCGAGCTATTCAAATCCGAGCTGTCTTACCCCGATGAAATTCTTATTCCCTTATTCTTGATTTCAATGTTGTTCCTGTCGCAGTTGTTGTATTCGACCGGTAGAATACCCGACCGACTTTGAATATCCACGACCAGCGAACGTCTACAGAGGTGCTACGACTTCGTGCCGCGTCCATATTGATCGAGAAGATGTCTCCGAAAGCGGGGCTGTCGTTGACGTGATCAGGCGGGAGGTCATGAATTTTAAACAATACTTATTCTGATCCTCGAATCAGCGTCGTCCGCCTGTCGGACGACCACGACGACCGACGCTACGAATACGATTCCGAACATAAAAAAAGTGTTCAGTGACGAAAGCGCACGTTGTCAGAAAGTTCCTGGAACATTTTTACCCTTTCAAATCAGTCGGCGACCGCGAAGCCGCTTCGCACCGTACTGCTACTCGACTTGCGGTGGGGTTCGGTCGATGAGAGGTCATCTGGCGCTTCAATTAACAAATTCGGTTCATCGACTCGAGCGCGGGTGCTCATTGCCCATCGGGTACACGCGTCGCGCGAAGTCGACGTCGTACTGCGTTAGGTTCGCTCAATGCTTCCCGGAAACCACCGAAACTCATTCTGATCGAAATAATCCCCGAATCGGAACGAATTGATTTCGTGCGCGGAAACGCTACGAACAGAGTTCTCGGACCGCGGCGATCTCCCGACGCGGAGGTGGAAAAGAAAACGTACCTAGACATTGCTGGAAAAAGAACGTGAGAGGAGAGGTTCACGAGATCGCTCTTGCTGCTGCATAGCTAAAACGAAAGATTCCGAGCAAATGTATTCGTGATGATGCTCGCAGCCGAAGAATGCACTCGAGTCTGTTAGAAATTTCTTCGCCCTTTGTTGTGTCCCCGTGTGACGACAGCTTTCATTAGAGCAACGCACACGAACCTCCGTCCAATTTTCTGTCTACGACATCTGACAATAGTCCATTGAAGGCTGCCGCCGTTCTGTTGCTTCCCCAAGAGCTGGAGTTAAAACAACGTCTGTGGTTGCTCGGACGGCTTTGGTTTGTTGAACTCGGACGACTTCCACCTTTGCTGCAGGACGAAGAATGCGACTAAGATCCTTCGGAAGCTCCGCCATCGGCCCTCCTCAATAATAATCAACAATGAGCTGATTCGATCCCGCATCCATACGGTGGTTTAGTCGAGGTTCTTCATTCGATCTCGAGCTCGAAAATGCGCTCGTTTCCTCAACACATGCACTCCAGATAGCATCGTCTGTAAATAGGGATCTGCCCCGAGGATCGATAGCAATTCACGGTTGGCAAGAGCAGTTCGCGCCGGACAGCCGATTGCCGCCTCCCGCTCAGCGGAGTCTCCTCGAAATCGGTCTCCAGGGCGAATTGCACGCGCTGCGACATGCCCGATAAAATCGTAATCGAATTTCGTCATGAATCATCTGACCGTCGACGAATCAACGGAATTCGCGAGTTTCCTTTCGCTGTAGAAACCCGTTTATACTCCCTTTTCACAATTTTCGCATTGAGGTTTCGGGGACTCTCCGCCACCATGAAAGTCAGCGACAAGGGTGTCTCCGATAGCGCCTGTCCGACAGTGAAGCGGTGCATGTTTGTGTCTGTAAGTGTGCGTCCGTGTATCAGCACCAATCCCCTCGTAGTATTTTGACGATAAATAAAAGCTCCGTGTGTTTCGTCCCGGATCATCGGCTCTTGCTGTTTGCTGAATACATATCTGCTTAGCGGTGTCGCATCGTCGACGCAATGGTGTTCCGTTCAAGCACGGAGTCAACCGCTTTTCTGTTCCCTCCTTTTTTCATATTACGGAGTATCGGCTAATCCCACAAGATTGATAGTGCATATCAAAACGCTCCGGAAATTCGTCGGTTATACTTCACATTTCAGAGAAAAACCGGTGGAAAGCAGAAAACTGCAGCCTGCCATAGCTCGATTGAAATGTGGGAATTATCCGCGCAATTTGCGTCTAGCCGTCGACCAAAAATATTCTTCGCAAATCGTTTCTTTACCACAGTACGTTCTTTCCGTACGAACGGAGTATTGCGTTTTTTGCTCGTGCAAACTACTATTCGAGCCGTCCTCAGACTTCTTTCCCCTCGTGTCGCTCTGGAAGTTGATGGCATCCCTTGAAAGCCAGATGGTGGGTAAACTCCCGACGTGTTCACGATTGCACCTTCCACACAAGGAATACCATTGATGCCGGAACAACGTCTGCCGCAAATTGAAAACTTCCAAAAAAGGCCGAGCATCAATATTAGCATTCGATTTGTATCAGAGAAAAATTGCCTCCTGTCTTAGCTGAGTGCTCTTTGCGTGGGTTCAGCTGAAGAAGCCAGAAGAATGTGTCAGATACTGCCGAAACATCCGATGGCTGAAATTTCAAGAAAACAGGATTCCCCGCTGTATGCCATGGGTTCCCCCGGATTCGCCGTTGATCCAGTCGATTCTCCTAGCATCGCACTCAGACCAGGAGGAGGAACAGGAAAACTTTGCGCCATTCTTGGTTCGCTCATCCACAGATAGCGGATGTATTGACTCAGGGCAAGGAGGAGAGGAATTTTCAACATTGTAAACAGAATTGAACATGGCTAATGTCATCAAATATTTTGTTCTGACTAATCCCTCGAAAATCACCTGTCGCTCGTCTTCTTTTCCCTCTCTTCTTCGCTGAGGTATGTGTAACACGATTAGAAGACGTGTTGGGATTTCAATGCCAAATCCTGATTCATTACTCGGAACACCTCGCGAGGTACTCGCTTCGCTTGTCGGGACGAATACAACAACGAGAATACCTGTCTCCTCCGACGCATCGGACAAGAGGCAATCGTTTTTCGAGAATTGAAACTGCTCTTCTTGGAGCTCGAGGGGACCGATTCCGAACGATATGGGGCTCCTCGAGTCCCCCTCCCTCCGATCGTGATGAGAAGCGAAGGGGATCGCGAACGAGGGGGACATTATGGCCTCGAACGAAGGAGAATATCAAGACGGGGATGAGATTCCATTTGGCAGTGACTTCGACTTTGACTGCGTGTCGTGTATGTATTCCAACTTCACGCGTATCGTCTCGAGAAAAAGCCAATTTATTCCGTTGACACAAATGACATTCGGAATAGGGTGTGGCTACCGGCAACAAATTCCGTGGCTAAGTAGCTCGAGCTGCCACTGAGCCAGCCTCCACACTTTCTCACAAGTACGCAGCCCACAGTAGTCTAAAATATTTTCTGAGAATGCCTGACGCACGCCAAGTGTTTGAATCGAGAGCCTATGAGTAAAGAAGAGCTTCCCTGCACGTATGGCTCAGGTTGTCGGAGACACGAATTTTTTTCCGCAGGGTGAAAAGAGATACGTGGTTTTTTTGAACCCTCAGTTCGATTCTACTACGGGCTTGCTTTCCCTCACGGCGAAGACTTGGCTCAGCGAGGGACTATGAGCATAGATCCTTTAAGAACACCCGCGACAGGGCTCATTGAGAATAATTATCGAAGAAACGGTTGTTTCGATCACTCATCTTCATTATGTGCCATTTATTGAGAGGAACATTGTTTCGAGTTTCTACGGAGTTGGGCCTTATGGCTCTTCTTCACTTTTCCTTCCTTTATCCTGCTTTCCCCTAGATCACCTTCACGCTAATTCATTCATTCATCCAAGAGTCTGTCGGAGACTGATCCGTTCCATCGATGCTCCTGTGGTACATGGCTTCTACTATAATATTTACAAAGCCGGAATCTTGAGTTCCCACTCTCACTACACGCTCTCCGATCCAGAATTCCAGGCGGAGGAACGAAAAATCGAGAGAACTCGATTCCTACACGAGGCTGGCGTAATCGGCGTCGAGATGCAACACACCGATTCATGAGACTACGGAGAGTCCGATTCAGATGATCGTCTCTGTTCCAAAAGGGGAGACGACGGTTTGCGGTTCTCTTCCCGCACATCTGCACAGAGATGGACCGATATTGGATGGATGAATGAATGAATCGATGAATGGATAAATAAATACGGTCATTGGAATGGTGAAACAGTCGGAATACTATCCGAGTGGAATGGCATGATCTCCTCTCCTGCACTTCTGCTACAACACTATATACAACGTATGTACATTTTGCTCGAGCACGCATCCACGCACGCACGTTCGCAGACCTACTTGGTCCTCCGCACGTTAACTTACGACTTGCCGGGGAGCGTCTCTTCTACTGGCTATCACATCTCACGTTGAGTTCGGTAAGTTTGAATACATTAGGAAAAAAGAATAACCTAGTTTCTTGACACCTCAGAAGACACCACGTCGAGATCGTCGTCTTCGTCTCCGTTGTCGTTTCCGTCATCGTCCCGCTCGCTCGTTTGACTCGCGGGTCTTGAGAGATCTTCAGCAGCTGAGAGACGCGCCTGAACCACAGCGGCCTGCGCGTATTTGCGGAGGAGATCCGCGTTCGCGGCCGCGGCCAGTTGGCTCATCATGAAGGCCTGTTGGGCAAAAGCGGGGTTGAAGGCGGCTCCGAGTGGCGTGCCCGAGAACGCGGGGAATCGTGACAGCAACGAGTTGAACTCCTGCAACTGTGCCAAGGAATACTGAGGAGCCATCGGGGGCGGGTACGCGCCAGCTGCAGGATTGAAGTGAGGCGCCATCGTCGGTACGTTTTGGGGTGGGGGAGCGATGGGGGTTGGGGGCGTCGAAGTCGACGAGCGATCGCTGCCGCCGCCGATAATGTTGTCAATTGAGAATGACTGTTTGTGTTGAGATCGTTGGAAAGGCTGAGCGGACGGAGACGGTGACGGCTGTGCACTGATGAGAGTCTGGGTCGGTGGGGACACCGAGGGTCTAGGGTTCAAATGCGTCGGGGCGGCCGCCAAGGCGTTGAGTCGGATTTTCGCTTGCTCCTGTACGGCGTTCTGTTGATTGCAAACTGTTTCGTAGTGTTTGAGCTCGGCGATAGCCATCGCTGTCGCGTCTTTGACGTGGCGTGGCAGTTTGAATCGCTTCCGGCGTCTCAGAAAGCTACCATTTTCGAACATATCACCACACGAAGGATGCAGAGCCCAGTAAGAACCCTTCCCAGGCCGGTCGGGACGCCGGGGAATCTTAATGAAGCAGTCGTTGAACGACAGATTATGACGAAGCGAGTTTTGCCACCTTTGCGTGTTCTTGCGATAGTACGGGAAGCGATCCATGATGAATTTGTAGATTTCGTTTAAGGTGAGCATCTTCTCTTTCGAGGACTGTATCGCCATGAACGTGAGCGATATGTACGAGTAAGGGGGCTTCTGATCGCCGTACGTTGGACAAGGACCCGTCGACGGGGGAGGGGAGTAGCTGTCGTTGTTCGGATAACAGCCCCCGGCCTGACTCCCGTCCGTTTGATAGGCCGACGACGGAGGTGAGAATTCGCGGCCGAAAGGCTTTTCGTCCCGAGGGGAGAACGCCGATGCCATTGGGGCCGGCGAGGAAAACTGTCCAACGGGCGATTGGATCGGAGACGATGGATACCGGGGCGAGTTCATCTCGGACTCGGGAGTTTTTGGCGGAGGATAGCTGAGTGGATTGTACAGCGGGAAAAGCGGGTGCGGGGTATTGATTCCGGGCGGAGCGACCCGGTCGAGACCACTCAGCGGGAAGGTGCGCTCTTCGTTGATAACCACTGAAACGAGTTAAACATTCTCAGTTAGTTCTATTCGAATCGAGGGCTTCTGCTATCGTTCCTCGTTTCCTACGTAAGCTCCTAATCCCATACCAGTCCATGGATGGACAACAAGACTACTTTGCCCGCTCTTATCAGCAGCTTTCCGCGCAGTCGAAACGATTCGAAACCGTCGAAATGCAACAAGTATCGTAGACAATTCGTAGGCACGGAAGGCGATTCAGGCACCCAGTGAAGACGTTCCTGGCGCCCCTAAACGTGCGAAGTCGGCAGTGTGGCCAAAGGCCTCTAGCCGAGCGGCTCTGTTTGAAGCTAATCGCCCTCATACTTCAGTTCAGCGCCGAGAACATCAGACACTTCTGTGAGCTGGACTGACTGCTGCAAATCTGTCGGCCGCACCTCGGGCCCCCCAACTCATTTACGCCGTAAAACACCGAAAACGAGTACAGCGACGGCGGTGGCACAAACTACAACAACGGTCGACAGCTACGATTCATTTTGCTTGGCTAAGGTCGTTTTTGAGTTTCCTTGATGGAGTCGCCATGTCCCTTGTCATTTGTGATGCCTACCACCTTCGGTCGATGCTCATCCACGGTAAGATCGGAGACGTAAAACAGACGTCCCTAGTCGATCGCTTTCGAGCTTAGCCCCAGTGAGCGAAGATGATGCGGCTGACATGGGATGTCGATCACGAAATTATTGATCTTCCGAACACTCGAAAATGATTCCCCGAAGCGAACCATAAGCGAGCTGTGCCTTGATATCTCCGTCGAGAGTTGCAGTCCCGAATAATCGGAGAATTCCCCTCATGGCGAGTCACGGGAATACGAGAAGATCACTTGCCGAGTTATGTACCGAGTTCCGAGCTCTCTCATGGTTCACAGACATATGTACCTAGGTAGGTACTACATATGTACGTGGGTATCTAATCGGGACGCTCAATCGAATCCTCCCCGGAATTCTCGATTCAGTAATCGGATGAGCACTGTTTCGTCAGATTTCGCGAACACGATAGGCTACTACATCGATGTTCGGGAAGATTTGCGAGTTGCGAGCATTCGGAGCATGCCCGACTCTCCGAGGAGAAACGGCATCGTGAATCGCTTTCGGAAGTGTCGATTGCCTGAGTCGTCGCAAAAAATATCGCTCGATCCAAGCGTGTTCGATTGGTCCCGGGAGGTGACTATCAGCCCGTAGAACAGGATGGAATTAAGCGAGCAACACTCAAGATTCATGAACTTACTTGATGCGGATAAGGGCGCGAAATCCGTGTCTCACAGAGTCTTCTGTTGTACATCCAAGATTGAATCACAAATATATTGGTCGAGCAGAGGCGGTGAACGGGCAGCAGAAAGCGTTGATCGATGTCAACAACGGAAATCACAACTGCAACAGAGATCAGCGACGCAACACCAGCTGGACGAATCCAGTGGGGATGAGATTCGCGAGCTAGACTCCGTTCATGGAACACTTTTTGCACTGTCCTCGCTGCGCTCGCCGGGCAGCTGTGGAACCAGGCGCACAGTCTCGAGTTCGACTATGATATTAGCTTATCGTGGTCGTCTTCATTCAGCAGGCTTGTTTCGAGGAATGAGCTCGAAGCACGAGCACAACTTAGAAGAATTGCTTCCCCCTCTCACTTTTTCACAAACACTTGCTCGCGAATCCTCGAGACCGACTGACAGCAATGGTCAGATCGAGTTTGTTTGTTTATCGAATCCAGCACTTGCGAGCCGGCGATCGAGCAGAGGCGCTCTCCAACCGCTAGTTGCCGTTTGTAAGCGACTACTGAGTTGAAGAGACACAGCGAGCCATCTTTGTTAAGTGATTCCAAGCCCCGCCCTCTCCCGGGCGAGGATAGCAGATAGGGGCGGCTCTCTCTCAGACGAAGCTCCGCCTCCACTTTTCGCGGGTTTACGACGACAAGAGAAGAATCAACCGACGAACCAACGAACGAAAATCAACCACTACGAGTGCCGCCGCTGCTGCCTCCGCCGTACCGCCAGAACGGCAGTTTCTCCTTCGGCATCGTACGGCTGCATGCTCCTGGCCGATTAGCATTGGCGGCGTACGAGAAATTGTACGGAGATATTATGGTGTACGATGTACGATACGTTCAGAGAGAGGAAGGATTGAGCCTGTTGAATTAAGGGAGATGGGACAATTGATAATATCAATTGTTTGAGGCGAATGAGGGAAAGTTCCGGGGGGCTGAATTTTTTTCCTTCGGCGCTATTCATCGATCAATCTACGACGGTGACGAAAAAGGTCTAGATTCATGATGATTCAGGTCGTCTCCCAAGAGCATCAGAGCATCAGCCGTGTCTTGGAGCGGTTGGTCTCGTTGAAGAGCTCGGCACTCGAAATCTTGGAGGGAAGTTTTCGGTGACGCAAAAAACGAGCTTTCGTCAGCTACAGAAAAGGAAACTTCAAAATGCGTTCGTTGAAGTTTCCTTCTCTGCGGCTGATGTCGAAGAAAGTACCCATGCCCTCATGACCAACTTCCGAATAACTCTTGATTGTGGATTCGACTCCGAACATATGAAGACAATTTCCAGTGTGATCGGCGAGGGCCGGTTTCATAGGCCATTCGGTTTTTATTCACAAACGAGTGAACTTCCTGATACGAAGGAACAGATTAGAGATTCGGAATATACGACCTCTATCTCCTCCATCTTAGGCATCAGCGTTCTCGTTGCACTTTTCCCATTGGGCAGTGGGTGTAGTCGATGATTATTATATTAGCGCTAGAAATATTGGAGCTTGGGGTCAGGAGCCTTGCTCACGCGAATTACCCAAACTCTAGGCGACGTCAGGATTTTCTTTTCCTCGATCTTCGACCAAATGCCGAGAGACCATCCCCAGCTTTGACACTATAAGAGAAACTGTGGAGAGCTCCGTACGTGTCGCTTATTTTCGCTGCCACACAATCTCACAATGATCGAAATTCCTGCATCATCTGTAGCGGAGTGAGTTACAAGATATGGTATAGGCTGGCTTCCTAACGGGTAACTCCAGCTTACATGCGCTGTCAACAACACGTATTTTCCCTGGTCTGGATCCCTGATGGCATCCATTAGTGCAAAATCGGACTTTTCGAGTAGGACTTAGATCTCGAGAAAACAGAGAAGAATTTCAATGAGTTCGAATCAATACTCGGATAATGATTCGCAAATCGAATACGGAGAAACTCGACGCGATCTCGAGCATCCTATAGGCAGCGAATTCTCCGGGCGATTACGAGGCTGCGCTCAGCGAGGAGTAACATAGGAAAATATTTCGCTAATCCGAGAGTTCGACCCCTGGGGGTCTCCCGATGCCGATGCTCATCCGTCAGCGGGCGCTCGAATACTCCGGCGCGAGATACTCTGGAATCCATTCTGAATGCTCAAACTAGGTGTTTTCTCAAGTCCACCAAGTCCCGCTTGAGGGTTATATCCTCTGAAGTTTGAGGCCGGATTGATTCGGGTGGCTTCTACGATTCCAACTCGATTTCCTAATATCGACTCTCAGCTGAGTGTATTGTCTATCCTTCCGTCGTTCCGTTCCCGAATAATGCAGGGAAAATACTGTTTTTGTTGGCTTACGACGGACAAGGAAGGCAATCGGTCAGGTCGGCAGCCCGATCGGCCAGTGAAAAGGTGGGGGCGGTGGTTGAAGGTGTCAGTCTCGCGTACTTCATGATTAATTGAGCGATGCGGTCGCTCACTGTCGCAGCTATCTGGGTGACCGAGCGTGAGTGTTCATGCTAAAGAAAGCATGCCAGCAGCATGTAGGGAGAAGGCGATCATAGTCGAGTAGCGAGCAGCCGAGCCGACTCTCTGAAGTAGCCGCTATTTTTCCTAAAACTCAACAGGCCACAACATCACACGATTTGTCATGGGCTTAGTTCACTCTCTGTCCCGTTTCGGAGCGAACACTTCAGTATTCGCGCTTATTTGTCCGATGCAGCTTTCAGTTGCTCGCATCGTTCTTCTGTTTTCGAGCATGCTCAAATGTTTGGGAGCTACGCCACGGTTGTTCCCCATAGGTGGACTCACATTTATTTTCCCAGAGGTTCCCAGAGATGATGCGAAGAAAAATTCTGTCGACTGTTTCGGGCTCCAGAGTACCTACAGCCTTCATCCATTGATGCGGGTATGATTTTTCTACTCGAGGAATGTGGCTTATGATTTCGGACCCAAACTTCATCATGGACCCTCAACAACCGGAGGGTGTCCTGAAAGGTCAGGCGATTCGAAATCATCCAGAGAATGGGTTCGATGATTTCTTCGGTCACGCGGGTCCATTGCCCAAGCCCAGAGCATCGGAATGTACGAGCCTGAAAATCCGAGCAGCAGGGTTATTGGCGGCTCTATTCAAGTCGATGTATAGGAGTCCAATCACACTGTTGTTCCGGGCTGTTGATGAACGGAGTGCGATCCTGAGTACCTAAATGATCTCCGTGATGGCCCCGCTATTCACTGATTTCGCTGTGATTCGAGAAAAAATTTCCGGACACTACATCCAATGTTGACCTGTCAGCTTAAGGTGCCATATCGTAATCCATTCGTCAGGATGAGGGTCGGATACGGTATTTCGCTCTGCGGTCGACCTAAGAGCTTTTCGTAAATTACCTAGTCCAAATCGTCAGAGGGCTGATTGGTCGGCATGTCTCGTACTTCTTGATTGTACGGGTCCCTCGCTGTGTACTGTCGATGCGCATATCGCGGTTGCTCCCGAGGCGTGAATTCCAGTCTGTGGGTCTAACTTTGCGGAAGGGCGCTACTTGCTTGGGTGACAGCCTGCGGATCAGCGCTCTCGAGGAATGCGCGGGCTGAGCAGTGTTCAATCGCCCCCTGGTCACGAGAATCCGGCAAGCCACCGGGAACGTCGAGCCTCGGCTGTGGGATCGATACCGGATATTTTCAAGGGTTTGAGTTCAGTGATGAGGATACGAGTCCAGTCATCAGGGTATGAGTTCAGTAATCAGTATGAAGTACTTTACTTAGGTAATGAAGATTTCACCAATACAGTGAACTGCGCTCAGAGAGGACACATCAGAACAAGACCATTTCGATCCGGATGAGCGGCGGATCCGATTATCCGAAATCAATGGAGCCCAACTGATCGGGACTCTCCAGGAGCGATTCGAGTACGCGAAGGATCCCATTAATCGGTGCTCCCATTGAGGTATTCTCAGTGTAAGTACGGACACACGTACGAGTGTCCTTTTATAAACTATCCATGACGCTTCGGTCGAGTGCGGATCTCTCTTTTCCAGAACATGGATCCGACGAGCTTTGCTACCGAGTCGGAAGGGAAACAATCGGTCCTGTCGGCTGTATCGACTTCGGACAAACAAAGGCACTGACGAGCTTCCTCTCGCGCATATGCGACGAGCGTGAACACCGACAAACGTTCATCGACCTGAAGACTGGGGACATTCGGAGCTTGTTGGGGAACCCTCATCTCAATTATGACGTCACTTGAGATGTGATTCATTATTCCTTTTTGAGGGGGGTGGCGGGGGAGGGCTTCCCAACCTGAGGGAAGGCTTTCTTGCACCGCGGAAGAACGTGGATTGAATTGTGGTACGCTGCTCTCAAGCTCAACATTGGATGCTCACAATCAACAGCTCCGGAAAAACAAGCACTTGCTTTGGAAAGCGTGCAAAAATGGCTGGGGATGGAAGAGGACAGAGAACCCTGCTTGCGCATGAGTGAATTGAAGAGATCGCTGGCGTCGTGCTCCCGGACGATCGCCGTCGCTGCTGCAAGAGCAGCCACTCCTTTTTTCTGTCTCCCTATCTAAATCTTTTGCTGAATCTC